GTGAGCTGTCGCACTAATTTCGCAGAACATTGCAGCTCCCGGCATAAAATCGCGCCACGTCCCGGTTAATGATTTACGTAAAATTACGCCCGGCATCAGCAATTCTCCTTTGACTAGGCACTACCGTCCAATTAATTAATTGAGCTTTCCGTTAACGCTCGTTGAAATTGTTTCAATTAGAAGCCTTACAGTTTCAGGCGGGTAGGAAAAGGGACGTTTATGGCAAAGTCCACCGCCGATCTTCGTCGTATAAAATGCTTATCGGCGCATGGTTTTACTCTCAATGACACTTACCTACAATCGCCCTGTGTCCCTTCACCCTCCTGCCGATGTTGGGTGAAACTATGCTCAGTCTGTCGTTTCTCGCTCCCAACAGCGGACTTGGACTCCTTCTCGGTGGCGGATGCTCGACAAATAGACCGTAACTGCTGCCGGCGCTCACGCCGTTGTTCGCACCGACAGACCCTATTCCTGTCAATCCCCATTCCGCCACGCTGTCGATCGAACTGCTCCTTGGCAGACAGGAACTCGTCGTACTGTAGTCTCGTCTGTCAATTAATATCATCTGATTAATACGAGTGGTACGGACTTTTTGTAGACAAAAAAGAGAGACGTTTGATTTAATAGACCTTCATGAAATAGGGTTGACGGCACCTAACATCGCCCAGAATGTAATATCGCCACTCGTGATATCTTATGATCAAAGTGCTGATATCAATCGGCAATACATAGAGTTAATAGCTAAACACGCGTAAGAAGACGTATTGTAGTTACAACGTCAAAGAAATAACGTCTGACTCGGGAGACGCGTTAAAGCAAACTTTGAGTGCTGAAAAAGAGTGAGAACAAGTGTCCACGGGCAAATGGCCCCTTTTTTGCATTCGATTTTGGGCACTTTTTGGGACTTTTGTAGACGAAAAAAGAGAGACGTTTAATTTAATAAACCTTCATGAAATAGAAGTAAAGGCACCTAACATCGCCCAGAACGTAATATCGCCACTCGTGATATCTCGTGAACAAAGTGCTGATATCAATCGGCAATACACAGCATTAGTAGCCAAACACGCGTAAGAAGACATATTGAAGTTACAACGTCAAAGAAATAACGTCTGACTCGGGAGACGCATTAAAACAAACTTTGAGTGCTGAAAAAGAGAGAGAACAAGTGTCCATGGGCAAATGGCCCCTTTTTTTCGCATTCGATTTTGGTCACAAAGTAGGTACCAAACGACAGGTCTCGTCAAGCTGATTACAGATATGTCAGGCTCACAGTGTACCTATTCAACGTTCCAGAGATATCGGGCTCCGAAAAATGGCGTTATGAATGCTTTTGACCGAACCTATTGATTAGATTGTAGAAAATAAAAGAGCCCCAGATAATAATTCACTTAATCCACCTAAAACTTACTTAGGTTCATAGAAAATGCAGGACGATGTCATTAGCATCGACCATTGGGAAACCTTTCAGTCGACTCCAACTCGATTTTGGAATTTTTTGATATCTCTGAAATGTTAAATAGGTACACTCTGAGACTAACATATCTGCGATCATTTTGACGAGACCTTTCGTTTGGCAAGGTAGTGGCACCAAATATCGCCTACCCTAACTATTTTGTATCCCTGTGGCCACAAGAATGACTGAAAAACTTCTGACAGCTTACAATGACGGACAGACATCACTTTATTTGTCACCAACTGGGAAATGTAAGCGTTTGCTAAGTTGTTTTCGCAAATTTTGTAACGAAATGGAAAATGCCATTTTTTTAAACGCGTTCCTAATATGGCCTACTTGTGAGCTTAATTGTTAAATTAATTATTAATAATAATTGTTAACATTGTGTTTTAACGTTCAATTGTAATACCATCATTCTATTCTCTGATTCATATTCGCTAACGTGGTACTCTTGGATTTGGAGAAAAAAAACAAGCAATAATACAACTACACTATTTCCGGTAAACCCCTGTCACTAGATCAACCGACGTCATTTGATAAAAGTGTCATTATCGTTACAACTATATTAAAAATACTGGTGTCGTTCATAAAACAAGCTAATTGTCGTACTTTGCACACAATTCTGCCCACAGTTAACAGATGTCAATATTAGTTTCGCTAAAACGGCGTTGGGCGATATTGGGTACATAGGTAATATTTCGTGCCACTACCCTACCTACTTTGTGACTAACAATAAAATCGAATACGAAAAAACTAGGACCGATATTGTTCTCACTCTTTAGCAGACAGTGCAAGTTCGACATTCTATAGCGAGTAAAATAATAAATATCTATATATAGATATAGCTTCACAAACTCATACATATTGATGAACAATGATTTTAGAAACATTTATAAGGTAGGCGATATTAAGTGCTATTTTCTCAAACTCCCGATTTTGCCGTTTTGTGTTTCTTTTCAATGTGGATTAAAATCTGTCAGAATTTAACTGTTCGAACCTGTTGTATGTACACGCACCGGCATAAATGCTGTCCCTATCCTTGTAAGGTGCACGCACACAACTACAGGGACTCTAGTTGTGTGCGTGCACCTCACAAGGATAGGGACACAGCATTTATGCCGGTGCGTGTACATGAAACACAAATGCTTCCTCTTTCATTTGAGACTAAGTATACGGACAAAAATGTCAATTACCCTTCAATTGAGACCGATTTGAATCTTGGTAGGCGATATTAGGTGCCCTATCGTACCATCTATATTCTTCCGCGATAGATAGATTATTGAAGACCT